TACACCTGTCCAGGGTAAGAGAAAAAGGGAAACCCGTTCACCAAATAACAAAACAATAGCTGTAAAACCTCACAATAATCTCTGGAACCTCTAGTACAAACGTTGAAGAATGAATGTGCAAGAGCCTGGGGCAGATCTTAAATCGGACACAGGAAAATAGTTCGGTGTTCGACTTGATGAATGCCGAAAAGTCAAAGAAACCCAAATAATTATGTTAGTGCTTGTACATGTGTATGAACCGATTAAAACTTCCCATTAAATCCACTAAAATGCAGAACATGGAAACTTCGATTTGAAAAAGAAAAAGCGAAACCTGCTTACCACTATGTGTATCTATTGATTTATGTGTAAACTACGTCAGATAGCGTCCTACTTCTTGACTTCCACAATCCAACCGTAAACTAGCTGCTCGAATACACACAGCGATATATATACTGCTAGCAACACTACACAGTAAAATAATGCTTATTTTGTCATACATCCAACACTTCTGTGGCTGCCAAGTCTTGCACGAAACAGTGGTCGATCACTAACATGTCTGGTATTGTACACTAGCGGTACACATGTACTTACCTTACCGGGATCGATACGGGTTAAAGTATGGACATCCTAGTGAAACTCACCTGAGCCTGCAATATTGTAAACAGCTACAAATACTAACGTTATGCAAAGTAGCAGGTATCAATAACATACATAGCAAATATCAATATTATACACAGCAATTAAAATTATACACAACAATAATCAATATTATTCATTGCAAATATCAAACTTTGTTTGGAAATGAATAAGACGAACAGACAGAAAAGTCGAAAGACCGTTGTGACCATGTCGTCTGCCATATTCTATTTCTCGTTGTATTTCACTCATATAAGTTACTGCCGTCATACACAACAACAAACTCGGAACTCCTGTATATGTAAAAAGTCAACAACAGGATCAAAGGAAACACTAAAACAGCCGGCTCTGAGGAGAAATCAACAAAACAGGGTTTGCCGAGACACCAAAATAACAGGATCTGCTTAGATAAAAAAACAGCAGGATCTGAGGAGGCAAAAAACAGTAGGATCTTAGGAGGCAATAAACAGCAGGATCTTAGGAGACAATAAACAGCAGGATCTTAGGAGACACAAAAACAATAGGAATGGAGGAAAGAACAAAACAACAGGAACGGAGGAAACTCCAGAACGGGAACACATAAAGATATTACCTCGCAATCCGTACCGATGATGCACGAAAAGAGTAAACAAAACCGCCAAATGAACTAAACATTGATGAAACTTAGGCAAAATATTTACAAAAGAATGAAGACCAGCTAGGTGTTCCGACAGGGTAATAGACAACATGTAAATCTACGTAAAATCCAAATAACGCCAGGTCCTCCGAGTGAGAACCAGGGTAGTGACAACATGTAAATCTACGTAAAATCCAAATAACGCCAGGTCCTCCAAGTGAGAACCAGGGTAGTGACAACGAAAGTAAAACGCACGCATTTATAAAGGAAAAACATCAGTGGTACAGTGGTAGTGTACACTGGAATACCATAGTCTACTCAATTATATTTTAGCATTTTCATCGAAACTTTTGTCGGTCAAACTTGATCAAATGGATACCCCCTTACTCCAGTTTGTGTGGTCATGCTAGCACTGTGAAGCTTTACCAAACATATCTTATTTACATGGACAACAAGATATCTGTGACTCTGCCAGTTTTAGTAAAAAGGACTGCTAAAGCAAATCTCTGAGATGAGAAGAATTTGTCTGTCCTTGACAATTTTAAACAAAATGACATATACACCACATTTTGAAACCTGACATTTATAACTAACTATATATTATGGAGAAAAGAAACATTTGAACGGGCGCTATTTTAGACGAAGATCGATATTCAATATTCTCCAAATTCCCTTTCATTTCAATGATATGCCGTTACGTGAATAGGCAGTATAAGATTAACTCTTTAACTGTGGCCATTACAGTAAACATTTCGGAAGGCGATTTATTTAAGATATAGTGGGAGCGTCTGCAACGAGCCATGGTTTGTATGTAGTCAAGGGATCCAATATAAAGAGGTACAATATACAGTGTAACTCATAAAAAAGGTACTGATGTAAAAACAATAAACCATATATGTCATGTAGAAATTGGTTTTGCTGAACAATTGGGGAGACTCACTTCATCCGAAATGCTTTAAATACGAACAATATGTGAAAAGTGACGACACATTATCGTATGATGGAGTAGTGTGGTATCAATCGGTTACTTCTGTCAACTTGTCAAGACAATAGTGTTAGCGTCAGTAAATAATGGCCTGCTGGAGAAATAACTCAATGTCAGTACTTCGTTTATAGAACTGCTCATATGTGATGAATTGATTATATCAAGACTTTAATATCAACAACCTTAACAAAACGATTGAAATGACAGCACGCTAAGGAAATTAGTAGCGACTCAAGGAAATTTCACGTTGACTTTCTTTGAGAGAACTGGAACGTTACCCTTGTCACGATGCCTGTCGTGTCAATAAACAAGATCCTCACCAGGAATGTTTATATTCCTGATCCATCAGACGTTTACCCTGACACAGACAGCGGTCACCGCCATAGTCCTCATACCCCCGATTATAGATTAACGTGCAGTGTTATCTGTTAAAATATTAGGTAACGGATGTCGCGATAACGCGTGCTACACCTTCAAAACAATCTTTAGACAGTTCTTACATATCTCGTCTAATTGTTCGGTTCGAAAGCCACGATCATTGCAAAATACATTCCAAGCACTGTCACGTGTGCAAAGGGCTTTCTTATGCCGTTCCCAATCAGATCGCCAGTCCCAAACTCTTCTGAAGATCAAAGGACTTGTTTGCATAACAACATTAGAAACATTTTACAATATTTTGCATACATTGTTCTGGTAAAAAAAGGTTGGTCTGATTTTTTCTTTGAACGGATTGCGATAAAAAGCAAGAGTAATTAAGCGTCCGTGTGATACCGATCGACGCTTGGAGCCATGGACTGGTGGGGACCTCACACATGCCGCTATTTAAATGTCGGCGAGGTGCTTAGAGTTGGGCACTCATACCGCTCCAATAACTAAATAGATGTATTTAGTTTAGGATAAATCTAGACCCCTAATTGAATTACACATCCACTTGTTATGCATGCATGTTTTTTCAAACATGATATCAACCGCGTTTAATATTAGTTATACTGGTATACAAAGCTTAGTCTCGAATACGTCTGTGTTAACACGTGTTATGTCATGTGACCACAGTTACCTTAGTACCAGTTGCTAATTTTTTCAACGATAATGTTTATTTAGACACAACATTTACCGATATGGTTCCGGGTTTAATATCAAAAGCTTCTATAATTACACACTATCAATTACTTATGAAAAACACTCTAGCCTTGCTTTCAAGAAAACTCCTTAGCTCAGATAAGATTTTTAATTAACTTGAGCCATATCTTCCCCGTATGAAATTTAATTAATGAAAAACAATATTAAAGGAGAGGTCGACTTCATATATTTGTCTGCAGAAATGTCGAAATCATCCGTGCTTGGGTTTTTCAGAATTATCTAAGATGGGAGACACACTTCTGTTTGAAGGTAGATGTTTTCACTAGCGACATTCTGCCATGCTATAACAGTCTTCTTCTTATTTTGATTAAATAGTTGTTGTGTTGCAATGTTGTGTTTATCAGCTCACATTATGCGTACAGGCAATAGTATATGCATACAAAAGCTGTCCTTCAAGGAAGTCAGAATCGAAACCGCCATTTGGTGGATATTTAGAGGATATCCTTTCTTGATTGATAATAATTACATTTCATCAGAGGCTGGATAAGTTTCTCCTTTTTTTTGTGCTACGAACGAAAAATGGGAAAATTATGTTCAACCAACTGGTGAAATAAAACTGTTACTCATCAATAAACTAGGAATGTTTTGGTTTATTTGTCTGGTTTATTTGGTTTATTTGTCTGGTTTATTTGGTTTATTTCCAATGGTCACCATATGGAATTTTCCTGTGCTCGTATTTTGTCCTACTTTTATCGGTTTTGAGTTCGACATACGGTTTTCTTGACACTCTGTTGTTCAGTGTCAGAATTTTATTAAGTTGTTCTTTACACAATGACATTTATTTATCGTCCGACAAAAAAAGTGAGAGATTGAATGCTGCATTATTTGTTATTGTCCCTACTTACTCTTACACGCTGATAGGTCAATTTAGTGTGAACATTACAAAAAGTGTCATATGTCCCTGTAGAAAATTTAAACTTAATTTTTTACTGTAAAACACCTGTTATCTCATTAATAAACTGTTAAGATCATTTTCAAGATATTAAATTAGATAAGGCGAGTTGTTTAATAGTCTATGGATATTCTCCTATGCAGTTCATGCCATTGACTGCAATTCAGTTAATATAACTGGAAATATTCGATTAAGAATTTCCCGGTAACTTGTGACGGAAAATCTATTGAAGTCCTTTAAAGTTTGTACTGGAGGGTAAAAAAACAATGAGAAAGAGGAGGTAACTATACAGTGATCAGAAAATACATAGAGCCTGAGTTCTTAGACAAAGAGACAAGTACTCATAGGGTCGGATATACACATATACAGGGTACATTAACTCTGAACTATTATTGCGACATGCATATAAATGAAATAACACTTTATAATACGACATTAACGAGAAGGAAGTTTACTGAAATGGAATATCACTGTATATAGAGTGTACCCTTTAACTAAACTAATACATAAAAGAAAGCGCATATACTTTCTTGTGTATGGTATTAATGAAATGTAATTAATATATCTCTCTCATATAACATGAGGACAGGTACAAGTCCACTCACAATTCTTGATTTAGGTCAGTTATGACGTCGTCTCAGAATTAGTTGATACGTTTGACTGGCCATAGGTACACCTAACTGAACATGACAATACAAGTGACCAACAGACCGTGTATTGTAGGTATATATCGATACGACCCGGCGTTTAGTCCTTGTGTACGCATTGTGGGTATACGTGTATCGATTGTGTAAGCAAACAGTCGACTCGGCGGTCTATGTGTTACGTTCGACAGCATCGGAGCGTTCTGGACCATATACTCGGGGTACGTAACAACACAGGTGTCTTAAGATCGGAAGTCGGAGCTTTTAAATTCCATAAGTTGTGACAGACAAGATGAACTAAAAGACAAATAGACTGTTTAAACTATCATAGAGGTGTCGGATTTGGAGCATTTCCTTACAGTAGCTCAAACTTGTGGACCGCCAATAGGCTACGGTACCGACATAGTGAAATACCAGTAATCTGTTACAGTAATCCTATGTAGCGAATGGGCTTTTACTTCGCTGGAGAGGAAGGTAACCTGTGATTATCCTAAACATAGCATATATTGTGCTGTCTTGTGGTTAACTTTCGAACCCTTGTTAGTTGATGCCTAAACGTTGGAACCAATACATTTCCATGGGGACTTAAGCGACAGGTGCAATATCACATGCTGTGAATGATTGTGTCGACACGGCAACCGTTAGCAGCTGCACAGAGATAGGTATGGTATTATGAAGTTGTATTGCTGGAACTATAAATTATTCAGTTAGAATATTAGCGTTATGGACTACTTGTCACAGTACAGTCTACCAGGAACCATACTCACTAAACTTATATCAGACTCGACGAATTGCTTGGTGGTACCAATGATGTTATTTAACGTCCTCTGGTCGGTATGGCCTTCAGTTGCTTCTGGGTAGTTTGGCCGTCGCCTTCTTTCGTGTCTGTTTAAAAGCTTAAGCTGATTTTTCTATAGTATTTTCTTACTATTCAAGTAGTGAACAATAGACTTACATTATATCACAATATTTCCATACACCATTGCTTTCTATACCTGTGCACATGAAGAAAGACTAGTTTCTGGCCTTTTCTCTAATGGTTGAATATCAATGGAATAGGAACAATACCAATATTCGATATTTTTTATTGTATTTAAATACTGTTGATTTAACAATCCACACCCGTCCATGATGCCGCGATTAATAAAGAATGATAAAAACAGGTTCTATCAAAAACGGGTTATGAAACGATTCTAGAACTTATTATCAAACATGGTGAGTTGTAATGCACACTTCAAGATAATTCAATTCTGTTATTCAAACAAATTCGGCAGTGTTTTCGTCTTGTATTCAGCACTAAAAGCACACTTGAAATAATCGATGAACTCCTACTTTTAACACATTTCTAATCAAGTTTAACAAAGCCTAGATCTACTCCCTTTTATTATAGTCGTACCAGGGCCCATCAATAACAGACAGCGTTTTATTTCTAGATAAAAACTCTACTGTTGAAAACTCTAACATGTTTGGCATATACTTCAATATCAGCGATATTGTTGAAGCCTTCATTTTGGATCACATAGCCGCAAATTGTAACATGTGACAATTGACAAGAAAATCTATGTCTATGTGTACTTCTTGTCATTGGCATTGTAGTATGCAATATAGAACACATTTAAAATAATTTAATAATTTGAAGTTTATTTTTTTCCAAATATTAATAAATGATATTTAAAAATATTAAAATGAAACAACACGAAACCCCCTTTTTTATAAGGCATGTTATTTTGTTTTTTGAGGCAATTTTCAATTTTTGCGAATGGTAATCCTAAAACTCAATAAATTAAAACAAAGTTTTCTAATTAAAATGTGAGATGTTGAAAACAATTTCCACTTCGAATAGACAGTAGAGGGAAGTAGAGAGGAAAAGAGGGCATGATTTGTTTTGTTCATCGTGTAACCTCCTCGACATATTTAAGGTCGCGAGAAGACGGGAGCGTGAGGTAACAGCGCCTTAACTAGACAAGGTCGAGGAGAACCGAGAGAATTCCCGTGTAACAATGAGGTCAGCAGATCAATGTTGGTATCTCCAATGTACCCCAGACAAAAATGACAGATAAAACCCCATAAAAGGACCATTAGACCTCACATGGCTCTTTAAAGTAAGGAACGATAGTTTGCCAGATTAAGGTATTAAGAAAGAAGCATATTAGTTTTACGTTTAAAACATCAACAAAAATGCATGTTACGAAATGTATTTAGATACAGTTACAAAACAGATTTTTTTCCCCATAAAATACCGTTATAGATAAACAGTTACAAAACATATGAATATCTTTATAAAACGAAGGCAAAACCATGTTATCTAGAAGGCTGAGAGTTTCTATCACCACAGATGGCATCCGTCGCAATGTCAGCAATCAAACCAAGAATTTTACATTTCAGAATATTTTTTATTGTACAGTTCTGAAGTACAATTGGAACTGGGCAACAGGCATAGCCTATACCAGCCCTCTCCTTACATTATTTAACGATACATATATTAACGTTATGTTTTAAATTCAACATTGACAATGCATGATGTAGTTGGAACAATATATCTATAAATTACTTCTATCGTTAAAAGAGGAATGTCGTAATATCAGTCTGGTCGTCTAACACGGACTGGAGGTCAGAGCAGACCAATTTTCCGTGTTCGATTCTATGCTGGGACCATTCAAGACCGTTGACCATCATACCAACTCGTGTAACGGTTACACATCAAGTTTAGAATCTTAAGCCAATGCACATCTGAGCCTACTCCACAATATTGATAATCATACAGAAAGGTTTGAGTGTTAAGTGGAATATTATCACTTGGAGCAGAGAATTTTAATTTAGAAGTTGTACTGGTTATCTAGGGTCTCAGTCTTACATAATGAGGTTTTATGGCTGACAATCAGGCCCTGTTAACGTCCGTATTATATCGTCAACAGGGAATTAATTCTCCGTGTAGAAAACACGTTACTGGTCAGTAATAAGTACATACACATAAACACAGAACTACAACAGTTAAATAAACGTCACGTTTGTTATAAAGTTTGGTAGTGAGGTAACCATTATTGTTATACTGTATGTAAATGTTATAGAGTTTGGTAGTGAGGTAACCATTATTGTTATCCTGTAGGTAAATGTTATAGAGTTTGGTAGTGAGGTGACCATTATTGTTATGCTGTAGGTAATTGTTATAGAGTTTGGTAGGGAGGTGACCATTATCGTTATACTGTAGGTAAATGTTATAGAGTTTGGTAGTGAGGTGACCATTATTGTTATACTGTAGGTAATTGTTATAGAGTTTGGTAGGGAGGTGATCATTATTGTTATACTGTAGGTAAATGTTATAGAGTTTGGTAGGGAGGTGATCATTATCGTTATACTGTAGGTAAATGTTATAGAGTTTGGCAGGGTGGTATCCATTATCGTTATACTGTAGGTAAATGTTATAGAGTTTGGTAGGGAGGTAACCATTATTGTTATACTGTAGGTAATTGTTATAGAGTATGGTAGTTAGGTGATCATATTGTCTTACTGTAGGTAATTGTTTAAGAGTTTGATAGTGAGGGGACCATTGTTGTCGTACTGTAGGTAATTGTTACTGAGAGAGGAGGGAGGTGACCATTATTGTCATTATGTAGGTAAATGTTATATCTGAAGCATGTATATATGTATGTTAACTGGAGCTGACAGCATGTCAATGTGAGGATGACACTGTACATTAGATATTGTGTGTAAGAATCGATTATATCAGTGATACATACTTCACCAAGGTGTCACTATGTTAACATACAAATTGTCTCATTTTTTCTCTCTCTGATTTCCGCTATTTTAAAATAGGCTTTATAAAAGCCAGTGATTAACACCAGACCATAGATAGTGTTGAGGTAGGCATTTTACTACGTAACGTCCTGACCTTTTTTAACATTAACGCACGTATATTGCATAATTATATCGACGACAGCGTATGCCTTTACAGTCAATAGCCAAGGTCGGTATTAAATAACCGTAACGACCTGTTTGTTAAGTTAGACAGCAGTAAATTAGTTTTCTAAATAAACCGCAAAACGTGCAAATTGAAATCATTGAAACACAGGAAGCCTCCATTAATTTATGTCAATTCGAAAAAAAACATGCAAGAAAGCTATTACTGTTTTCTATGGAAGATTCCAAATGGGATATTTCCCACCTTCAATTCTCAGTTCCCCTTGAATCTTTTTTTTTAATAACATGAATTGTTTGCATGGTGACTATAAAATCATGATATCTCATTATCTGTTAATGTGGAGCTTAAAAGACAAATCAACCATTTGAAAACCTGAGCTGTTTCAGTGTCTATACGTAGGGTAGCACTTACAAGGTCTCGAGTCATATTCCTGTCCCGACACAGGCAGTGGCGCCTTCATGTGTGCATTATATGCAAATGAGGCTAAATTTGAAAGTCCTAAGAAATATAATGCAACATGTTGATGATTATTATGTAACACCCCACCTGTTTAAGCATTCATTTTTCTAAGGACGGACGTTTTCCTGTTTTATAATCCTGTGGTAAACAAACACCTACAGTACTACAACCATGCTTGTTATTTGTCTACACCGTACATGTAATTATTATATAACTTGGAGAGTTAAATACACTGTACACAGAAATATAGCGTGAGATGTGTTATCTACACTGTACACATAGAAATATAGCGGGAGATGTATTATCTACACTGTACACATAGAAATATAACGTGAGATGTGTTATCTACATTGTACACATAGAAATATAGCGTGAGATGTATTATCTACACTGTACTCATAGAAATATAGCGGGAGATGTATTATCTACAATGTACACATAGAAATATAGCGGAAGATGTGTTATCTACATTGTACACATAGAGATATAGCGGGAGATGTGTTATCTACACTGTACACATAGAAATATAGCGGGAGATGTATTATCAAAACTGTACACAGAAATATAACGTGAGATGAATTATCTACACTGTACAGATAGTAATACAACGCGAGATGTATTATCTACACTGTACAGATAGGAATGGAATGTGAGATAAATTATCTAAACTGTACACAAAAATATAATGTGAGATGTGTTATTTACACTGTACAGATAGTAATGGAATGTGAGATGAATTATCTAAACTGTACACAAAAATATAATGTGAGATGTGTTATTTACACTGTACAGATAGTAATGGAATGTGAGATGTATTATCTACACTGTACACATAGTAAAAAACGTGAGATGTATTATTTACACTGTACATTTAGTAATATACCGTTAGATGTATCATCTACACTATACAGATAGTAATATAACATGAGATGTATTATCTACACTGTACAGATAGAAATATAACGTGAGATGTATTATCTAAACTGTACAGATAGTAATATAACGCGAGATGTATTATTTACACTGTACATTTAGTAATATACCGTTAGATGTATCATCTACACTATACAGATAGTATTATAACTTGAGATGTATTATCTACACTATACAGATAGTAATATAACATGAGATGTATTATCTACACTGTACAGATAGTAATATACCGTTAGATGTATAATCTACACTATACACATAGTAATATAACGTGAGATGTATTAGCCACACTGTACAGATAGTAATATAACGAGAGATGTATTATCTACACTGTACACAAAAATATAACGT